CCCGATACAAAATGTTTCCGATCCATATAGATAAGATGGTAGGTTGTAAATACGGGTGGGGTGGGGGAGGGGCGTGGCGGGGGAGGGGAGGGGGAGGGGGGAGGGCGCGCGCAGCGCGCCGTGCTAAACGCATTTGCAACTTACACATAAACCAAACTTTTTTTGTTAATAACTTTTTAACGAGCAACGAGCGACGGCTAAAACCTTCTGAGGGTCACTCAGGAGGGTGACCTTGACCTTGACCTTGAAGGTCAAGGTCGTAGGAGCTGGGTCCCCTATTCGGCACTTTTACCCATGTATTTTTTGTAAAAATATCTACAAAATAGTACCGCAAATTACAATGTTCTCAAATCAAGAAATTAATGCGAGTAATATTTCATGAAAATGTACAATTTGTAAAAATTAGTACAAAACTTTACTGGTTTAAAAAATTTGTGAAACAACAAAATCTTAAAGAATTAAAACATCTGCTTACGTGTAGAATATTACAAAAATTAACAAAAGTGTTCCATTTTCATGTTGATTTCTCTATAACACTTTTTAAATTTACTTACGTAGAATTTCGTAGATTCTGGCAGTTATATTTAATTTTTTTGTAGAATTTTGTAGAATTTTGTAGAATTATTTCCGGCAGGGTAGTGCAGATCTCTCTAGAGACCCTCAAGTAAGAATATTTTTAGTAATAAATTTGCACGTCACCCAGGAAGTACTATAATTGACGCGTTTTTTTAAGTGGTTTCCCCAGCACTAAAAATATTCTCGTCAATGTAATTAATATTCGAAAATTAAAAATTTCTCATTGAAATAATTATTTAAAAAGATGTTAAACATATCACGTTTTAGAAACTGACATTTGGCAGTCAAGGGGCACGCAACGGCGTCGGATTACCGATACGTACGATCGTACCTGAAGCTGAGCGTCGCACGCTTGCTTACAGTTTTTCTTAATGACTGGAGTAGGGGGTGATAAACGGTACCTCGCGAAAATCGGCCGAAATGAGCAGTTCGTGGACAGCTCTGATATAGTCAAAGCGGCGCACCACATAATCGGAAAAAAAGGAGGTGTCATTCGTCTCTCGCACAACATGCTTCCTCTTCTGAAAAATTGCCTTGCGGCGCGACAGGGAATTGTTAATTATGGTATGGCGTAATTTTCTTTTGCAGTCAATTAAATGTTACATCTAAATTGTTAAACGCAGATTTGCCGGTACAAAGTCCACGGGAGTACCTATTAAGAAGAGTATATTTATACTCAAATTAATGTTCTCCTTCTTATAACACCTACTTGCACTGTATAGTTATGTGTCATTTACATATCGTGCACTGCCACTGTCAATATTTACAGTACTTTTTTTATTACTTTCGCAGAAGCCTTCACTCGCTATTCTGGAATTTTCATAAACAAGACTTATTCGACAAAAAGCGATGCCTCCAATAATATTGTATTCGATGTAGTCGATGGAGTGCGGATTCCATTTTTGCTATCTGGTACTTACTACAAGAACCTTCTGGCTTATGATCTCGCAAGACATTCGTTGGTGTAAGTTAACCTCAATTTGATCAATCAATGTGAATAATTATAATTAGAATACAGAAGTAATTCTAAATATTTCCAAGATGCCTTTAAGATCATTCCACGTATACTGGAATTTTTCATTGCCTTTAAGGAGTTACAATACTCTAGATAAGAAGTATATTCTGTCAACTGTTTTGTAACACTCTATTTTTATAAGCTGATGTGCCAATGTAAAGCAAGAGAGAAAGCATAAGAAGTTAATAGAAGAAAGAATCGAGAATCGCGTATAAGATAAACAATCATCTTGATTCTCGGTTGTTGCACGTCTCTCCGATATCACTGCAGAAGGTACCCGGCATCCGACGTACATATTTCTTAAAAAATCTTGTGAGAAAGTGTAAAAAATGACGGAGTGTACTGCTGTTTGGAGATCGCAAGAGGTGATATCGCTCACGCATAGCCTTTATAGAATTTGAGCTGTGTTACAGTTATCGCAAGAATGTTAAACGGAAAAAGAAATATGATAAGGCTAATGATATCGAATAACGCTGGGTAATATTTTAATGTATGCTTATATATAAATAGCGAGGGGGGGGGGGGGGTTTGACAGAGATCCGCGCTCGGGGGCGATGGGCCGATGGGCGACAGCGACAGTTCGTAATACCAGGGGCACTTATCTGTTCCGACGGATACTCGACACGAGCAGGGATAGTTACGTGACATGCACGCTGACGAGACTTACAAGCGATGATCTGGGACGCTCTGGAAGTTCGGAAGTTCTGGAAGTTCTGGGCGAGAAGACGTCCAAGTTACACGTTGAAGCGGGATCTGCGGCGCTTCGTTCTGTTAGGCTGAAATCACATGGTGCAGAATAGGAGTACGGAATAGAGAGTGCGTTATTGAAGCAACCAATCAGAGCTTTGCCGTATCAACGAGTGACGGAAATGTCTGGCCGGCCTGTTCCCATGGTGCGTCATAGACGAGCAATGACGCATCCGGAATGAAAATAATAGATGTAATAACAGTTTTATTAAAATAATTCAAACGTTTTTATAAAATATAATATTTATAATAGCAATAATTATTATTAATCTAATGTTATATAAAATTTTATATTAAATATTAAAAAGTTTAACATAATAATTTTAAATTTTTGAACTGCTTTGACGCATTTTTGGCCTTTTTTCTGCACCATGTGAACAGGCCGGGCAAAGAATTGCGGAATGCGTCATGCGTCATGCAGCCTCGGCTTGTATATGCTGTACAGTATTGTTGATATTTTTTTTCTAAAACTTTACTTTTGTTAGAAAATAATATAGGCTGTGAATATGGAAAATAAAATAGTGATGGTCCAAGAGTCTATTAAAACTTTGATGAGAGTATACATGAAAACTCCAATACTCCAGTATAGAAAGGAAAAAATAAGAGTAACTTTAGTGAAATTATTGTTATTGGGATATTAACTCGTGACGTCACGTCTCCAATATGGCCGCCACAATAAGGACACTGTCCTAACCTCCTAACCTGACTGTGTTGTTTAGAAGGATTAAATAATACTTAGAAGATGCGTTTGACCATTAAAGACATTTGTGAATTCGCAGAGTGTTCACCTTCGACACGTAATTTTATTGAAAGTGAAAATTTATTAAATTGTGGTCACTCTTATTAACATGTGG